GAATTGTCAAATATTCGATCTGAAGATCAGTTGACAGACATTCTTACCAAAGCTGTGACAAGTCAGATTTTTAGGAGATTATTGGACAAGTTGGAAATGTATGACATCCATTTACCAACTTGAGGGGGAGTGTTCGGATAAAGATATTTGATTAGCTAAATTATAGGTTTGTATAGCGGTACAAAATATTGTATAATCAGAACTTCCTATATTTAGTCCTGATTTGTTAGAGTAAAATACTATAAGATCATAGTATATGTGTACAAAAATAATATGAATAAAAATTATAGAATGAATTCTATGTTTTTCAATTTTTATGTGTTTGCATTTGAAGTCTCATAAATCTCTTACCCATTGAATGCGTCGTTTTCTTCCCCATAATTGTTATAAATAATTTAATCCATTAACCATTTTGACATGCTTTATTTATGCAGGGAATAAATCGTGAAACTAGATCTTGTTAGGCTGCAATTTGGAAAGTTCTTCAAACATGTCTACTTCCACCATCATAGGTTTCCAACTGTCAATATCTTCGAGCAGTTTTAGTGGCAGAGGTATAACTTCTAGCAAGGCCTATAAATTTCGTGTACTTATGTTGGCATATGATAGGACATGGATGTTAGAGGTTATAATGTAATTATGTAGTGGATAATTATATGGTATATTAGTTATTAAAATAAGTCATTTATTGGCATATGATAGAACATGAATGTTTGTGAAAATTGTAGTTAGATGTATAATAGACTTGTACCTAGTCGAAAGGGGTATATTGATGCATTTTTAAATGGTGTGACTGAATTTGTGTCATTTTCTCTTCAACATGCAAACATGTCAAATGGAAAAATTAGATGTCCATGTAGTAAATGCAAAAATAAGAACTTTTTAAATTCTAAAGATGTTCAAGTCCATCTTTATCGTTGGGGATTTACACCTGCATATTGGTATTGGACATGTCATGGAGAAATGGATCCAAATATGTGTGATGTGAATAATATGTATCCAAATTCATCTAATAATGCACACGAGGTTCATAGAGAAGACTTTGACAACATGATTCATGATGCTTTAGGTGCAAAATTTGTGAGTCATTTTGATAAAGAAAATGAGCACTTTCCAAATATTGAAGCAAAGAAGTTTTATGATTTATTACATGCTTCACAAAAACCATTGTGGCCAGGATGTACTAATCACACTGAATTATTTGTTGTTGTTAGATTGTTGACAATTAAATCAGAGGGAAACATATCTCACCGATGTTTTAATCAAACATTAGCTCTTTTGAAAGAGACACATCCTATAGATAATTTTATCCTAGAAGATTACTATAGAACCTTAAAATTGGTTTCAAAACTTGGTTTATCAGTAGAAAAAATTGATTGTTGTGTTCATGGGTATATGTTGTTCTACTCAGATGAAGATAAGCAATTATCTACATGTAAGTTTTGCCAAAACCTCGTTATAAGATAAAAAAAAGTGGGTAGAGGTAAATATAAAAATGTTTCTGTGAAGAGAATGCATTATTTACCCCTCATTCCTAGGCTTAAGAGATTATATGTTTTAATGAGTTCTGCTCTGTATATAAGGTGGCATTGTGAAAATAAGAGAAATGAGGGACATTTGTGTCATTCATCAGATGGAGAAGCATGGAAACATTTTGTTAGTTAGTTAGTTCAAATATTATTGCATGGTGATTTTTATGATGGAAGAGAAAAGTAGTTATTATATTACCTATTCTCATGACTTGACAAACTTATTTTCTTTTATGGTGGATATTGCACTTCTAAGTCTGTGTTTTTAACCATATTTTAGATAAAGTTGAATGGAAAACCCCCTACCCCATCAGAGTTGCTTCGCAAAACACACAAACGAAAGGATAACACATGGGTGGATCAAATATCAGCACATGTTGATGTAAGTTTCTTGTTTTTCTTCTTATGTTAATTTCTTAAACAATTGTATCCTTTTTTGTTTTTATTTAATTCACTACTATTCTATTTTAATGTTTATAGGCAGAGTTTAGTCATGCATGGGAATAAGTCTCCCAATCAGGATCTATTACAAGAGGTTCTTCGCCTGATGAATTACAAGTTTGGTGTAAAGTTGCTAGAATAAACAAAGACAAAGTATATGGGCTTGGATCTGGGTCAAGCAAAGCAATTGGGAGAAATCTTTGCCATGACTCTACTTTATCAATTGTCTAACTTATGAGAGAGGAAATTGAACAATTAAAACATAAGTTAAAGGAAGTTGAGACTGAAAGAGATAATCTCCATGAAATAATGTTAACTAATGAGAGGCAAATTCAGAAAAATGATAAAATGTTGCTCCTCTTAATGGAGAAGATGGATGTTCAACCTCCTGAATTGTGAACTGATTCTATTTTGTATATTGTATTTGTTTTGTTAATTTCTGACATTTTCATAATTATGACTCTTATTTTAGTTTATTCTACTTTTAGATTGAATTTTCAATATGTAAGAAAGTATTTAATTCATGAATCATGAATTTATTTAGAACAAAATTTGTGGTATTATTTTCATGGTTATCTTAGGTAGTGAAATTTTCATATATTTAATACAATATATAATGTATTTCATATTCCTTAATCAGGTTTGTCATTATTTTAAAAATAATATAAAAAATAAAATAAAATTAGTGATCGATATATTGATCGATTTGGTCATATATATGCGGTCATAAAATCGATCACTGAATCGGTCACATCGAATCAGCCATCGATTTGGTTACTGATTCGATTACTAATTTAGTCATTGAATCGGTCACTAAAATCAGTGACCAAAGAAATAGTGACTGATTCCAGTTGGTCACGTTTTCGGTCACTATTTTAGTTAGTGACTGATTTTGATCATTTAGTAATCGAATTTTCGGTCACTATTTAGTGTTTTTTTTGTAATGTTCTTGATATATGATGATATTTGTAAAAGGAGCGGTGTCATGGCAGTCCACATTACAAAAATGTTTTGCTCTATCTTTTACTGAGGAAGAATATATTATTGTTACAAAAGCTGCAAAGGAACTTTCGCAAATATAAAAATTCCTATATGAGTATGGATGACAATTAAACTCGTACCCATGGATAACAATCCGTCCCCGCCTCTAGTTTGATGGAAAAAATCGAGTTGACCGGAGACGGGTTTCCCCCGCTTTAAAAAGTCAAGGCGAAGGCAGAGATGAGTAATATAATCCCTACCCCGACCGCATCCACGTCCCGATTTTATATTTAAATTCAAAGTTTAAAATATTAATATTTTAAAAGTATTTTTTTTTCTTTTTTCTATTACATACAAAATCATTTTTTTATATTTCATCATTTTTATTTTTATTTTTATCAACTTTTTAATTATTTTATTTTTTTTATTTTTTTATATCAATTAATTTATTATATTATTCTCTTTTTCTTACCTTTTGATTTTTCACATTTTCTTAATCTCTCTAATCAATTTATTTATTTTTTTAATATTTTCAATCAATTTGTATCAAAGTTAATTTTTTTTTCTAAATATTTTATATAAATCTTAATAAAAACTAATATTATTTTATTTATAATTTATATTTATTAGATTTTATTATATAATATTTTTTAAATTTTATTATTCTTAATTATCATATATTAAATTTTACCTTAATAAAATAATTATATTTTAAAGAATTAAAAAAAATTAATAATTTAATATTTTATTACTTTAAACTAATTAAATAAAAATTAATTTATTAAATATTTTTTTACAAATTGAGAACTTAAAAATAAATTAACTTATATATATAATTAAATATTTAAATATAATATTATAATATTATTATTATTATTATAAATATTCTATATATATATAAAAAAATTTAAATTATTTTTTATATATTAATTAATAATTATTATAAATTATAAAATTAAATATATTTATTTATATATAAAAAATATATAAAATTAATAAAATTAATTTATTATAAATATAATTATTATTTTTAAAATAATACGAGAAAGGCAAGAAAACTTAAAACTAACAAAAATTAAAGAATTAATTTTTAACTCTAATCAAAATCAAGAATAAAAACAGTTAAAAAAATTAAAAACAATGATAAAAGAAACAAAACCTACCCACACCCAAAGCCGGAAACAAAGATAAGAAACAAAATCTACCCCACTCCATTATCATGTCTAATAGAAAGATAAAATCGACATAACAATTATATTACTCATCCTCAACTCCATTCCCAACTTTTTAAAACAAAAAAAAATTCAAATTCATCCTTACACCACTCTATTTTTTCCCAGGATTTTTCCCATAGAATAAACAGAGCATTGGATAAAATATACTTTGAAATTGTTCCATTGTTTAAGCACTAAATAATATCCAAATTAAAATGAAATATATCATCATATTCAAATTAATTCAGTAATGTTCATGAATAGGCAGGTAAAAAAAAAAAAATACTAAGATTTATTTTTATTATTTCAAAAAAAAAATTAATGAAGCATTTTATTATTAATTATTTCTTACTTATTAAGACCGATTTAGACTAATTTTTTACTATTTGTACTGATTTTCTCCAATTTTCTGATTCTTAGCTAGATCCGAAGAAAATAAACTAGCTTCCTGCTTAATCCACCTATCTCACCAGTAAAACTAAGTTTCAACTCAGAACTAAAGACATTAAAAAAGAAATCGTAAAATTCACATATTTTAAAACAAACCAAATCAGTTATCCCTTAATTAAATTGAAATGCGAGGAATTGAAATAAATATAAAAAAGTGAATTCCCAAATTACTGTTTTTACTCAGAACAAAGCAAGCCATTCTAAAACTCCCCTAAAACTTCGAAATCTCACTACTCGAAAAAGAGCAAAACCGGGCAAATAAATTGTAAGATCAATCCAACATAATTCAACCATTGGATTAAACATGCATTACAAAGTGATGATTTGAAGATGATGAGATTAGATATTAACAAAAGACCCTAAAACCCCAATTTCGTAACCTAACCACCGAAACCATATAGAGTCCTGCCCTGCCTCTTGAGGGCGTAGACGACATCCATGGCAGTGACGGTCTTACGGCGAGCATGTTCTGTGTAGGTCACAGCGTCGCGAATGACATTTTCCAGGAAGATTTTGAGAACACCACGAGTCTCTTCGTATATGAGGCCGCTGATGCGCTTGACGCCGCCACGCCGAGCGAGACGACGAATGGCGGGTTTGGTGATCCCCTGGATGTTGTCCCTCAAAACCTTTCGGTGGCGTTTCGCTCCTCCCTTTCCCAAACCCTTCCCTCCCTTTCCTCTTCCTGACATGGTTACTGATAGATTCTTTTTGCTTTGATGTGGTATTGAAATGTGGAGGCTTGTTATATGTAGAATGAGGCGGAGGGTTCTTTGCCGTTGGATTGTTTTGTGATCCGCGTGAAGGAACTAGTTGAGCATTTGGACCGTTGGATTTGACGGAGGGAGTGTCACAGGGATCGCCACGCTGGCATTCTTTTATTATTCTCTTTCGTATACGTTGAAGTCCATAAAACGTTTGCTGGGCTTGTACCTTGGGCCCTGGAATGTGGATATATTACTGCCCAGTGGGACACTCACCTGTGTTTGGATTATTATTTTTTTAGGCTCTTGGTGAGTATTGAAGAGATTTATTTTTAGGTTTAGAACAAACTCAATAATAATTACCTAACAAAACAAAGGAGACATGGGAGATAAAATCGACTCTAAATCTTTACTTGCTTATGTGGTTCTATTGTTAGAACGGATGAGAGGACGAAGAATCGCGTTAAAAGTGTTAGTTTAGATCCAATTGGCTCCAGGATAAATTCATTGTTGATCATCTTAATCTGCCACATCATATTGTTATGCAGAAATTTTTTATGATATCCAGTAAAATCAACTATATCATTGTTTCGGACAGACATGATGAGGTGTGCATCATTCCCACGAGCTAAAACTCTCGTTTTATGGAAACTCCTTATAACAAACTTGTTACCGAGGCTCTTATACAGAAAAAGGGTGTGTGCCTTGCTTCGATTCTATCACAAAATTACTGAATCTATGGAACATATATATCTTCGTTGGTAGTAAATAGAAGTTAAAAAACACATATAATGACAATTTTATAATCATCATCTAAAGTTGTAAAATTAATTACTGTTTTAATCTGTGAATGTAAGATATTAATATAATAATTATAAATATAATAATGTATTATGTTTTGGTAGATTCTTTTTTGTCCTAGGTGCCTCCTTTAAGGGAAGTTGTGGTTCATATGTCAAATTTATTTTCCTTATTAACATTATCTAACTAAGGACCAATCACGAGCACCAAAATCCTTTCTAAGCTCATATAGACATAATATCATCAAACACACTTTACATCTCAGTAACAACCTTGTTAACGGAGGTACGAGCAATTCTACAGAGGACTTCACCATCCTTAATAAGATCAATGAAAATACAAAAGTTATCTGGACCTTCATCATGGCTAACAACATCAAATGCAATATTGATGGAGCTATCAAAGGTGCAAGTCATCTTTAACGTTATTTCTTGTTCTATTAGAAACCAATGGATCCACTGCATGGGACCAAATCAATTAACTTTTCTCTTTCACGTATTTTTAGAGAAAATTAACTTTCCTCTTCCGAACAATTTTTAGAGAAAGTAATAGATACACAGATAAAGTGAGTTAATATTGGTATTGATACTAACTCTAAATTTACTTAGCACAGTAGTCTGTTAAATAGCATTCGGATGAAATTTTTTAGAAACACGTATAAAAATTACTTGAGTTTAGATTTAGTTTATCTTTATATTATGGGTTTCGGTTTCTTCCGTACTTTCTTTTATTTTTATTTTTATATTTATATACTATTTCAATTAAAAATATAATTGTTTCAAACACTAAATATATCATTTATTTAAGATAAAATTTACTTTAGAGAAATAAAAATATATTCGTAATCAATATTTTGAATTTCATGGTATGTGTTATGAATGTCACAACATGTTTTCCATGAAGTATAACTAATCTTTTTGGCAACATAATGGCAAAACATAAAATACCAAGAAAATTAATAAGGGTTGTTCATATTGGGTGCAATTTTATGGTATTTATGAAAAAAAGGAGGAAAGTTATGTTTAGGAATGAAAATTTTATAGTGAAAGTGCCTTATAGGATATCAGCGTTGTGGTGTGGTTTTGGTTAAGAATAGAGATAAAATCCTGCAAAGTATTTTTAAATTGTAATATTGGCTTATTAATTGAGAAATAGACTCTGATTTTCAATGAGTGATGTCTATTGTATCACCTATATTTGTTAATGTCCTACTAATTATATTTACTTTGTAATATTACTAGATGACTACATATTTTATTGTTGGTGGGTTGGTTGAGATTTTGAAGTGTTATATGAATGTGTATATATCTATTTCTCTTCTGGTTTTTCTCTTCCTATGACATATTTCAGATGTTGATCCTGGGATGAATTGAAGACCTCTCTCTTAGGGAAAAAGGGTGGTGCATTATGTTTTGCCTTTTACAACTTCTTTTTTTCGTTAAGAGGCTATATTAATAATCCTTTTTTTTTAAATATCCATCAAATAATTATTTTTATATTTTTATATTCTTTATTTATTTATTTTATTTCATTCTATTGATATAAAATAATATTTTCAAATTATTTATAAGATTTTCCCTCATTAAAATAATATTATAAGTACCTACATATGCTGTCTTTCTTTTTATATATACTGATTTTGCTAATTAAAAAAAATAAATCAATATTTGAATCCATGCTATCTGTGTAGTTGGATGTCGACCATTTATGTCGACTACGCAATTAGCCTGTTTACCACGAATTCAATTCTTATCATAAATTTTGTTTGAATATATGTAGAATCACCGTGAGTCAATTAAATATTATAGTACAAATAGAAAAATATATTAAAATTATAGTTAGAAAAAAGTTTTATTTCTATAAAAAAATTAATGGTATTTTATTGAACAAATTATGTGATATATATATATATATATATATATATATATATATATATAATAGTATTAACGAATAAACTCATCAAAAATAATGGGAAGCCCATATATAAAGATATAATTTTTATATATATCATTAATTTTTTTAATTTATTTAGGTATTTTTTTTAAATTATGACATATTAAATTATCTTATTTTCTATCCATCAATTCCATCACAGAATTATATTTAATATTATTTAAAAATTAATGTCAATAATAATTTATATATTCTTTTTTCTTAACTTATCCATGAAATAGAATTTAAAATAACAATACTTCAATTAAGATAATATATCAAAATATTCTCATTTTTATACTGAACAAACTTAATTAAAAAAATCATATAATTTGTATTATTAATATATTTTTTATTGTGATATCTAATACATTATAAATTTAAATTTCAATAGATGTCATTTGGACATTTTCTAGTACAACTATCTACTATCCTAATTGTTATTATCACATCAATTTAAACATTTTATATAAAAAGTCATTTAAATAGTAAAATTGTTAAATTGAATATTTAATTTATTTATCTTTTAAATCTTATCATTGATCACGTATCAATACTTTATTTTTTCCATTATTTTTTCTCTTGTTCAAAATATAAACTTTTTAAGCAACAATGTTTAAATACGAAATGTGATATTATTTGTTGTCGGTGTAAATTTTATTAAGTAACAATATTTAACATTAAACTATATTTGTAAGCAAATTGTATTGGGATGACTTTACGGTCATTGCTATTATCTCTATTTTCTCATTTATCTTATTTTTATTTTCTTTTTCATGTTTCTTCCCCTCATTTGTTAAAAAAAAAAAGAAAAAAAAAGAAAAAGAAAAAGAAAGAAGAAGGTATTTTGATAAGTTTCTATTACAATAAGTGGGCGGTTAATGTGAAAGCAGGATTCATGTTCACGTTTGAAATGTTCAATTTCAAAGACAATAAGACTTAATCAACCCATTCTCACCAAGGCCACGATAAGAGGCAGATAGCAGCACCCAAAGCAACATGGCCTTTTATAAAGGATTTTTTATTTTTTTTAAGTGATAAAAAAAATTATTATTTGTTATATTATCTATTTAGTTAAAAAACAAGTTATCGTGGTTGATCAAATATGTTTATTAAATAAGAATTTAGATTATAAATAAAGATTGCCAGAAAAAAAATTATGTGTTTCCATCAATATTGGAGATAGTTCTTTATTTACCACAATGATATAATCAAAGCATGTAAAATTTGCAAATCAATTTAAATTAATCAATAAGATTATAAATGTGAATTTTAATATTCAAAATTAAAAACCTCAACTTTTGTGGAATACCAAGTGATTTGGAGGTGTTTTGACTTGGATGCGGGGTGGTGTGGGACATTCATTGAGAGTGATGTGAAGGTAAACGCGCATAAATTTTTTTATGTGGGTTTACATTAAGTTTGATCGGTTAATGAGTTGTATTATGCATGATATTTTTAGGGTCATAGGTGTGGATTATGTTTGCTGTACCAGGTGGTGATTTGTTCCCATCAGCGCTTCAATTTTAGAATAAACTTTGTTAATATCAATCTACTTATTACTTTTTATTATTCTTTATATGATTTAAATATTTATAATTCTAATTATTTTTAGAGTTGTATTTTATATTTATAAATAAATAAGGTATTTCATTTGGTGAAACTGAATATCTATTATTTTATTTTATAACCTGTTATCAACACGAAAATATTAACATATGGAGTTAAATAATAATTCATTTATTTTATATATTATTTATTATATTATTTCTCAATATATAATGGATTATTATTTAAAAAAACTCATGAGACTCACACAACTTGTTGTGTTGTGTTTCATTTTTAGAAGTAAATGAAAGAAATATTATATTGTTACGTTTTATTCCTACATTTTATGTTATTTCACTCCTAAAAGTGAATGTGAAAAATATTTTGTGGTTATTTTTTTATTCTCAAGAGTAAATGTGAAAAATATTTTATTCATATTTTTTAATTATAGTTGTGGTTATATAATTGAATGCATTATTTGTTTTGGAGTTTTCTTTCATCACGGTTTTATCTTTAAAAGATGTCTTGGTAGGTTAAAAGAGAAGGATTTATATAAATTACATTTGGTTTTCTCTTAAATACTGTGTGACTCATGAGCGTACACTCTAAGCCCCACGGTGAGTGCCAATATTCCGTTTAAAAACAAGAGTGTATATAAACTACCTTTGGTCTCGACTCCTAAGCGATATAGTAAAAGCAATGAGGGGGAGATTGATGGAAATGTCCCTACATTCCTAAGAGATGATTTTGATGATGATTCAAGTCAACTACATCCAAGTCAACACCATTCAAGATGAATTAAGGACAAGCTGAAGTTATGACGTTGGTGACAATGTGAAACATTTCCCTACATGCCCAAGATATGTTTTTGATAAAGATGATGATTCAAGCAAGCCCAAGATGATGATTCCTAAAGACTAGATAGAGTCTTAAAATACTGGATATGGAGGTACAAGTTGATGAAGTAATATTATGAATAAGTCTCCAAAGCACAAGTGTGATAAAAGTCATAACATGATATTTTTCTCTGTCATAATCAATTATGATGCATCATAAATGAAAAAAATGATTTTCTCTGTCATAATTGATTATATTGGTAATATAATCAATTATGGCAATTCAAATTTGAAAAATATATTCGTTTTAAAGAATAGATGTTTTTAATACATCCTAATTTTCTCTATGATATTATTAATGTCCAACGGCCATTTTCTCGATTCTATTTTTCTATTTAATTAAGTTTTGATGAAAAATAAAAAAACACACAATTTTAGAATTTGAAAATACAATTTACATTCAATCAGTTTTGAGAAAAGAATTCTGAGTAAGACAATAAAGATATGTTACACCTTCTGAGAAAACCCTCTTCTCAAATGCCTTATGTGCTCTCATTGTTAATCACACTTGTTCTTGGAGATTGGCATTCTAAAGACTTCTACAATTTGTTGTCTCCATTACCTAGGTGTGACTGTTCTTATTTTTATTACCTTCATCCTTTGTGTATTGGTGGCAAAGGAGGTACTTTTCATCCCTAGTGTGATTATAGGGAGGTGTTCATCCTTAGTGAGATTCTAAGGAGGTGTTTTTCATCCTTTGATTTGTTTAGAGGAGGTGTTCATCCCTAGTGAGATTCTAGGGAGGTGTTCATCCTTAGTGAGATTCTAAGGAGGTATTTTTCATCCTTTGATTTGTTCAGACGAGGTGTTCATCCCTAGTGGGATTCTAGGGAGGTGTTCATCCTTAGTGGGTTTCTAAGGAGGTGATTGTCTTTTTAATTAGTTTACTTTTTACTGGTTCTTCAGCTGAGTTGATTGTAATTTGTAAACTGAATTTGAAAGATAGTGAATTGGGAGTCACTCTTGTGTTAAGAGTTGACTGGGAACTGGATGTAGGGTTGGCTATACCCGAACTAGTATAAATCTCTGTGTGTTCTTCTTTTTCCCTTATCTCTTTCTCTTTTCCTGATTATATTATCGCTTCCGCTTTATCTGTGTTCAAACAAATTATTGACTCACAAATAAATTTGTAATTTGACATCTATTTTAATTTGTGTATCTATTCACCCCCCCCCCCCTCTAGATGCCATTTGTCTAACAAGTGGTATCAAAGCTTGGTTAGATAAGATATTTCTAAACGATCTGTCAAGATGTCTATGCAGAATCAGATTTACAGGGAAGGAGCCTCAATAAATAGACCACCATTATTTGAAGGAGAAGACTATCAGTTTTGGAAGTCAAGAATGGAAATATTTTTACAAACACTAGATTATGGTGTTTGGGATGTTGTACTCAACAGTCCTTACATTCCGATGAGAACAACGGAGTCTGAAGCTGTTCCAAAGACTTTTAATCAATGGACGCCGAATGAAAATAAGCGTGCCCATTATGATGTAAGAGCCCAAAATGTTATTGTTTTTGCTTTAACTCGTAATGAATTTTTTAGGGTCTCACAATGCAAGACGACAAAAGAAATATGGGACACTCTTGAAGTAACACATGAAGGAACAAATGAAGTAAAGCAAGCACATAAGAACACACTCGTCCAGGAGTATGAATTATTTCAAATGCAGCAAAATGAAAGCATCACGGATTTCCAGACACACTTCACACATATAATAAATCACTTGAAAACATTAGGAAAAAGTTTTGACAATGAGGAGTTGAGGACAAAGATCTTAAAATTCTTAGACAGGAATTGGCAACCAAAGGTCACTGCTATTACAGAATCAAAGGATCTCACAAAAATAAATATTGCTACTCTATTTGGAAAGCTGCGAGAACATGAGATGGAGCTACAAAGGTTAAAGAATGGTGAACAGAATCAAACCAAGACGATAGCTCTAAAAGCAGAAAAATCTTCACAAGACGAAAGCGAAAATGAAGGTAAGTTTTCAGACTCTGATATGTCTCTTTTTGTTAAACAATTTTCTCGCTTTATGAAGAACAGGAAAAAGAGACAGCAAAGAAAGGAGAAAACAAATAAATTTCATTATTATGAATGTGGAAAATCTGGTCATATCAAGCTAGATTGTTCGGAACTTAAGAAAGAGAAGAACGATACCTATAAGAGCAAACACAAAACTTATATTGCTTGGGAGGATAATGATTCTTCCACAACACAAGAGAGTTCTTTCGAAAGCAGTGATGGAGAAGAAGAAGCAAATCTTTGCTTGATGACAAAAAGTGATGATGAAGCCTCATCACAGGTAAGTAGTACAAATTCCTTAAATGAATATGATGAGTTGTTTAAAGAATATTAAGATATGTATGAAGGTTTTATCAAGTTATCTAAGAAATGCAATGCACTTAGGCAAAAGTTTAATGCATTAGAAAATACTGTTGGTATTCTTGAAAAAGAAAATGAGTGCTTAAAGAAAGATGTTGAGAAATTTAAAACTTTTTCTAAAAATAAAGAAGTTGCTAAACCTTGTGAAAATTGTAATCTTTTGGAAAATGAGATTTTCAAGTTAGAGAAAATAATAAGCAAGTTTTCAAAATCTTTTGAAAATCTTGATTCTATATTAGGTTATCAAAGAGGGAATTCTAGCAAAGCTCGACTTGGTTACAAACCCAAAGAAAGTCTAGAACCTCATAAAACTATTTTTGTGAAAGAGTCAAGGAAAACAAATGTGAAACCAGTTTCAAAAACTTTAAGAAACTCATTTAGACCTTTTCAAAGAAAACCAACATGTTTTTATTGCATGAAATTAGGTCATACATCAAATAGATGTTACATAAAACATTTTGGCATATCTAATGACAAATATGAATGGGTGCCTAAAGGAACAAAGCATTTATACATGTCTAGATGATAGTTTGAGCATCTAATTGATTATCAGAATCGAAATTTTTTTCTTGTTGTCATAATCAATTATGTTGAAAGTTTGAATTTTGAAAGTTTGAATTTATGAAAAATTGAAATTATTAAATTTTGAAATTTTGCAGTTTGAGATTCTTGAAATTTGAAATTTTGCAGTTTGAGATTTTTTTTAAAATTTGCAGTATGAGATTTTTGAAATTTGAAATTTTGCAATTTGAGATTTTTGAAATTTGAAATTTTGTAGTTTGAGATTTTGAAATTTAAAATTTTTGCAGTTTGAGATTTTTGAAATTGAATTTGAAATGGAATTTGAAAATTGGGATTAGAAATTTGAATTTGAATTTGAAATTTGTTGCAATTTGAATTTGAAATTTGAAATCTGGAATATGAGTATATTTGAATTTGAAAGCTGCCTAAATAAGAAGATTGCAATTTGGGGAAACTACTGCATTTCATTCCATTATCTCTATAATCATTCTATTCCCTTATCTTTCTCTCTCTTCATTTGTCTTGGGTATCCTAGATATTGTCTCCTTAATATGATGTTCTTCTCTATGACACTTTGTAATACATTATTTTCTCTACCTTGATTTATGTACTAATATATGCAAATTTGTTCTCAGTTTCTATTGCAATA